AAGGAAGACTGGCAATCTACTTCCACAGAGATAACACCTCAGAAACCCAAAGGGGGTTGCTATGGGTTGGAATCAACTCGATGGCAGTGAATTTGGTGGGTTTTTCTTTTTTTTTTTTAGTGTATTTAGAGAAGCTCTGGTGGCACTGTGGGTAAGGCACTGGGCTGCTAATCAAAAGGTCAGCAGTTCAAGCCCACCAGCCACTTCATGGGAGAAAGATGGGTCAGTCTGCTTCCGTAAAGATTTAGAACCTCGGAAACCCTGTGAGTCAGTTTTGACCCAAAGGCAGTGGGCTGCATTTGGGGACTGGCAGTCTGCTAGGGGGTGCTGTGATGTTTATAGCCTTTCTAAGATGTATGGTCCCAGCCACTGTCCCTTTTAGACTATAAGCATCAGGTGCCATAAAGCCACAGCTCCTGTTCCCTCAAAGGTGACAGAGCAGCCCAGACACTGGGCTTCAGTCTGCCTAACCCTCTATGCTTATCTGCACTTGGACTTGCTGAGATCACCCAGCTTCTAGGTTCAATTCGTGGCCAATGCCCTCAAGTACAGTCACCACCAGTCTGTTAGTGGAGTCTGCAGTGTTGCTATGATGCTGAACAGGTTTCAGTGGAGGTTCTAGACTAAGGCAGACTAGGAGGAAAGGCCTGGATATTGACTTCTGAAAGTCAGACATGAAAACTCTAATGGATCACAACAGTCTGACTGCAACCCCTCGGGGAGACAGTGCAGGACCAGGCAGTGTGTCATGTGTGGGGCTACCATCAGTCACAGGCTGACTCGAAAGCAACCAACAACAGTCTGACTGCAACCCCTCGGGGAGACGGTGCAGGAACCAGGAAGTGTGTCACGTGTGGGGCTACTGTCAGTCACAGGCTGACTCGAAAGTAACTAACAACAGTCTGACTGCAACCCCCCATGGAGATGGTGCAGGACCAGGCAGTGTGTCACGCTGACTTGAAAGCAGCTAACACCGAATGAAGCAAAGGAAGGGGAAAAAGAAGATAGTGGCAGGCAGAGGACATGCATGTATGAATGGCAGAAATGGGAAGAAACCACGAAAACTGTTGTGACAGACTCTGGACAGAAGAACAGGGCACCTGGTGTAAAAGTCTGTTACAGACTGAACTGTGTCCCCAAAAATATGTGTTATAAATCCTAAATCCCTAGACCAGCACACTTGACAATAGGATCTTCTTTGTTATGGTAATAAAACTGTATCCATTTAGGGCAGGTTTTAAGCCAATCACTTTTGAGATATAAAAAGGGAAATTAAAAAATAAACTCACTGTCGTAGCTGACTGCCATTGGGTTTTTTAATCAATTCCAACCCATAGCTACCCCAGATGGGTTTCCAAGGTTGTGA